CATTCTAATAATTTCAAAAGGCTGTAATAGCACTTCACCTCTAAGCATAAATCCTTACTAAAGTATACCTTACTCTTCTGAAAATCACATATTAAATAAGTATCAAACTATTATATCCTCTTCAAAGCATCGTATGTCTTCTATCCAAATAAACAAAACTGCACACAGAAAAAGGAGTATATGAAGAAAGATCCCAGAGTCAAGACTTGCAGGAGGACACGTTTAGACTAATAATACATAGCCCAGAGCTTGCTGATTAAAAAAGAAATAACCATGTCCATATCTTATTGAAATGGGCTTTTATACTTACAATAGCATACTCATAAAATTTAAACCTATGTACTAACTTAATATACACTCACTACTCCAGGAGAATGTCAATAGAAACACAGCAATTTTAAATTCAAAATGAAAGCTGGTATCTGTCAAATTCATTTGCTTGCTTTTCACTACATTCATAGCCTCATGATTTACTATAAATTCATTTTGGAGCATAAAGAGGCTCAATCTACTCCTAAATTATGGCTTGTTTTCCACTGGGATATGAACATAAGTGGTAACCAGGCAGGCAGGCAGGGTTTATGCTATGTGCAATGTTTGGTTTCCAAAGTACCATTAGGGACACAGTTTTTCAAAATATACTTGACCACCTGGCAGGTGTGGCTCAGCAATTGAACATCAACCTTTGAACCAGGAGGTCACAGTTTGATTCCCAGTCAAGACATAAGCCCAGGTTGTGGGCTCGATCCCTAATGTGGGGCATACAGGATGCTTCTCATCAATGATGTTTCTTGCTCTCTCTCCTGCCTTCCTTCTCTGAAATCAATCTATACTAATAAAGAGTAATATGCAAATTGGTCAGGACACCTTCATAGTAATGACCAATCAGCAGGCTGTTGGGGCAACCAGGCCGGCAGTGAGGTTGGTGAGGGACAACCAAATGACTGAACAACAGGTTGTATGGAGCAACCAGACAGACAGGGGGGCAGTGAGGGGCATCTAGGTTGGCAGGGAGGGCAGTTGGTGATAACCAGTCCACCAGGAAGGGGATTGAGGGGAAAACCAGCCCGGGGCGGGGGGGGCGGGGGAGCAGTTGGGGGCTATCAGGCCAGCAGAGTGGGCAATCATGCAGGCAGGCAAGTGAACAGTTAGGAGCCAGTGGTCCCGGATTGTGAGAAGGATGTCCGAAGGCTGGGTTAGGCCAGATCCCCGGGATCAAGCCTAAACCGGCAGTCAGACATCTCCTGATGGGCCCCAGTTTGAAGAGGGTGCAGTCTGGGCTGAGGGGACCCCCTCCCCATGCATGAATTTTGTGCACCAGGCCTCTAGTAAAAATATATTTTAAAATAAAAAATGCCCTTTTTTATTAAATAAATAAATAAAAAATACATATAGATATACATACATACATATATACATACATACAAAATATATCTGACCAATGGCTAACTAGCATTGTTCTACCTGTCTATTATTCTTTAGCAACAATGCAATTCAGAACTGAAGGATAGATTTCCAAAAACTGAAAATACAAACTGTTAATATTTCAAACAGCATACTCTGAAGATTTATCTTCATAGTGCAAAAGTAATTTCAAACTATTTAATTGGAACACAGCTTCTTTGGCAATTAATTTAGCCTGTGTCCTTCTAACCTCCTGTAATTTAGAACTCCACAGGCAATAACTATGCAACTCTAATCTTCAACAGAATCTCAACATTTCATATACAGATTACAGCAAAATAACCAGCAAATTGCTCTCATTATCTTTTGCTCTTTAGTATAATTTACTCCAAACTACTTATCTGAAACATTCCTTTTCTAAGAGGGCCAAGATGATTGCTTAACTCTCTTCCCCAGTAAGTCCTGGGTTCGCTTTGTAACACGACCTGTTTGAAGAAGGCCCAACTCAATATCTGACCATGCACTATTAAACCTTATTTCTTTAATGTAAGTCACCTGCTTCAATCAGGTTTGGACCACGTTATAACACAGGGTTATACTGCTTCCCAAAGTCCCCACCAGGGACATCTTCCTTTTCCTCCTCCAATGTCCAAATGCTGACATTCTCACGCTGCTCTTCACCATGACCCCTAAATTCCACTGGATTGTACAGTCTGCTACAAAAAATCTTACTTTATTCTTCACTGGCTCATTCTTAAGAAAGTGCCATTAGTTTTATATAACCCACTAGATTACAAACTCAGTAGGACACAAATGGAGATTTTTGGTTTGTTCCTATCATCTGTAGAATACATTTTTTTTTAATCTTTTCAATAGTGGGATCTATTTCCTAGAGAGTAAAACCAAAACAAAAAGCACTTTTCGTTCCTCAGAATACCTTTAATACTCTAGTAGAAAAGACAGATCCTATATGTTCCAATTCTTCCTTTCTTCATTCACTCTTTCATTCATTCATCCAGTGCATGTGAACTAGCCACCCAAAGTGTTCGAGGCCCAGGTAGGTGCAATGGAAAACATCAATGTTGAATGGTGAGATAAAACTTGCTCTCACTCATTGGTTTGGAAAAGCAGGACCCATCCACCAAGAGAGGAGTGCTCAGAGAGTGAGCTCAGCTAGGAATGGGCAATGGTAGGGCCATTAATCTACCATTTCAACTGGACACTTAGGTCAGGTGATAAAGAAGTAACCAGCAGCACCAAATTCTGCAAGTACTGGCAAAGTGATATTATGCAACAAGATGGTGAAATAATCATTGCCTTCTAAACTGTTGACAGAAAAATGCTGAAAAACAAAACTGACCAAGATTAAAGGGAAAGAAGTCAAGTAACCCAAGGATGGGGAGTCAAGAAGTCAAAGTAATCAGAATATTACGACACAATATAAAGGCCCTGCTAATTGCTGAGTGGTTAGAGACTCGTCCTGATACACCAAGGTTGTGGGTTTGATCCCCTGTCGCTCAGGGAACATACAGGTATCAATCAATGAACGAATAAATAGATGGCGGGGGGGGGCAATCAATGTTTCTCTCTCTCCCTTCCTCTCTCTCTCTCTAAAAAGATAAATCAATAAAAATTTTTAAAAGGTATAATATGAAGAAATAAAAGCAGATATATACTTAAGAGCTATTTTATATTATTAGTTATTTTAAGAATACTTAGTACTTACGAATTATTTTTAAGCAAGCTCTAGTTGGCTACTGTATTTTATTTTTAAATTCAATGTTAAACTCATACATGTGCTGGTCAGTTAAGGAAAAAGTTGCAGAAACTCACAGAGAAATACCGTATTTTTCGGACCATAAGACGCTCCGGACCATAAGACGCACCAGTTTTTAGAGAAGGGAAATGAAGAAAAAAAGATTCTGAAACAAATAGTGTCCTAAAATATTTTATGTGCATTAAAACCCAACATCACAGTCATAAACACATGTAATCAACCCTGTAAAGTAAACAGCAGCATTTAGAACCATTTTAGAGCCGGGCAAGCACACAGAGACCACACAGAGCCGGGCAAGTAAAAAAACTTTTTTTTTAAAGTATATGTATAGGCTATATTTGGACCATAAGACGCAGGGACTTTTCCCCCCCACTTCTGGGGGGAAAAAAGTGCGTCTTATGGTCCGAAAAATACGGTAATAATATAAACCTAAACACTCATGGTTCTTTCAGTTTCCGATGGAAAATGGCTTATTCACCTGGTCCAACAGGAACAGACACTGCTGTGTGTCTGCTGGCAGCTCTAGCAAATGGGAGATGGTTTGCCTGCACTGTGCTATCCTTGCCCCTTGCAAGTGAATCACCAGACCTGAAAGGCCGTAACACTTAATAGCAATTACATGTGTTTAGAAGCCTTCTCTAGTGAGGCTGATATTTCAACACCAGTGGTACTCAGCCTATAGACCTTCTGGTAAATTACCTCATCAAGCCTGTTGATATAAAAAATCATATGTGAAAACGGAAAACAACAACTCAGCTTTCCTTCTGCTCCTCTGTGACATTTCATTTTAGACTCATGAGCCAGAAAAGACCTTAGGTGATATATTTCCATAAATACAAGAATAAAATGCACCCTGGTATTTAGAAAATGCCAGTGGGGTTCCGTTAAATATGTACATCTCCAGGTAGCAGTGTTTTCCATTTAGTTCAGAATATTTGCATTCACAACAACAAAGATCTCACTGAATACTCCTGGTCACTGGCTAAAGTGTGTTACTGTTAGTATTGTACAGTCAAGGCAACTAAAGCACAAGGCTGTTAAGTCACTTTCCAAGGTTAATGGAATTCAACCAGGATTTGTTTCAATGTGCAATGCAACTTCCCTCGGTTAAGTACTGTATTTCCCAGATAGTCTCAGGGGGCAAGCAAGTTAAGAAAATATTCAGCTTCACGTAGCTTCAAAGAAATAAGTGGACAATAGATCCTAGTAGATTGTTTAAGTTAACTAAAGCATCTGGGGATTCAAGTGGACAGACACTGGATCCAGTTCAATAAGTCAATTCTTCGTTTCAAGCAAGTTTTTTTTTTTAAGCCTTTATCAAATAAATAACGACATTTTCAATCAGCCATATGCTCTCTGAGGTGACCAGCATCACCTCAGGCGACCCATTAGCAAATTCATCAGATCTTTTCTCAACTTCACCTCCTTCCCTTTTGCCTAAGTGAAAATGGAGCTTATTTCTTCTTTCCTGCACCCCATTCCTGTCTGCCTTCTCATGACTCACTTGACCAATCATAGCCTCCTCTTTGGGTCCTCAATGTTTCCCCCTTTTCTGGCTCCCTCTAGTCAGTGGAAAGTCTTATCCAACTGAAAAGTGAAAACAAAACATGCTCTCCATCCCATTCCTCTCTTGATATCCTATATTTCCCTTCCCCTTCCCAACCCGGCTTCTTGAAAGGATAGTCTATAATGTTCATTCTACCTCCACCCATTCCCCATCCATCCCACAGCAATCTGGTGACTGTCCTCACCAGCCTACTGAAATGAGCCTTGCAGAGTTACACTTGATCTCCTTGCTGCTTAATTCAGTGGACACCGAATGCTTCACCAGCTTATGTGCTAAAATTGGAAAGATGAGGAGAAGATCATCATGGTCTCTGGGAAAGAATGAGGAGCAAATTCATGCAGTGTCTCATATTTTTATAGTAGGAACTCATTTTGTTATATAGAGACCTATCTCTAAATAGAGTATATATTTGCATATAGAAAAAGTCTGAGAAGACATATATCGAAAATTTAGCAGAAGTTATGCTGGGTGGTGGGATTTAGGTCAATTCTTAAATTGCACTTAATTATATATGTATATGCATTTATGTATGTTTGTGTGTATATATACACATATTCAACTTATATAATGATCACATAGTCCATACCTAAATAAAAATTTAAAAATATATCATCTCAAAACATCCAGTGGCCCCTTTTCACTTCTTATCTTGACATCTCAGTGGTATGTGACAATATTGACCGTGTTCTAAATCCTTGGCTTTAAGGACAGCACTCTCTCTTGGTCTTCCTTTCCCTCTTGGCATCCTGTTCTTGGTCTTTTTGTCAACCTCCTCTTCCATTCCCATGCCTTTTATGTTGGTCCCCTAAACTCCATCATTGTCCTTTGTCTCTCCCTGATCTGCACACCTTCTCTGGGTGGTCTCATTCATGGCAAAGACTTACAATAATGCTGCAAACTCCCAAATCTACTTCTCTAGCTCAGAGCTCCTGCCTCAATTCCAGCTTCCTCTATGCAACCATTTCCTAGATTTTCAAACACTTCAAAGCAACATCCGTGAAACTGAATTCATCATCTTTCACCCCAAACTGGTCCAACTCCTGTATATTCATAGATCAATGAACAGAACCACTATCTATCAAGCTCTGTCAAAAATATAGGTGTCATTTTTTTTTCTTTCTCTTACATCTTGCATTGACAGGATTATCAATTCTACTAAATTCTATCCCCAATATTTAGGAAACGCCACTTCTTTTTTTGTCTGTCAACACTGCCTTAATGATGGGTCTCATTTCTTCTTTCTATTATTGAAACAGCCTCTTTTGTCTTCAGTCTCAACTCTTTTTATTCCTTCCTCTTATTCTGCAGCCTTAGTGGGTTTTCTCAAATATCAATCACAGCATGTCACTTTCTGCTGAAAGTCTCTTATGACTCCCTTTGCCTAAGGATAAAATTTCAGTGATATTTATTATCCTCCAGCATAGACTTATTGCTCAGCATTCATCTACCTTGTGTCTTAAGACTTTGTGAACTCTAAATTTAGTGACCTGCTCCCTGTTCTCTAAACTTTCATATTCCTGGATGCCTTAAGCCTTTTCCCCATCACTCCACCTACAGGGAAGCTTATTCCCTGTTGTTAGTACAGTGGTGCCTCACACAACGAACTTAATTCGTTCCAGGAGCAAGTTTGTTATGCGAAAAGTTCGTTATGTGAAACGCTTTTTCCCATAACAATGCATGTTAAAAAAATAATTCGTTCTGTAGCATAAAATATGCTAAGATGACATAAAAAAAGATAAATTTTTTGTTATTTTTATTTAGATACATCTAAAAACATAATTTTTTTAAAAAAAAACACACACATTTTTTTAATTTTAAGACAGACTAAGTAGAGTCTACCGAATCTTGCACATCTTCATCCATTTTCTGCTTTTTGGCCGATGGTTTCATGAAAAACCTGTCCAAAGTCGTTTGTTTTTCTCTTTTCTCCAACATCTGCCGGAAATAACGGACAAGAGTATCGGAGTAAAGATCGTTGATTCTGTTTGCTTCAGCTGAATCCGGATAGTGGGCATTGGTAAACTCCTGAACTGCTTTCCATTTGACCAGGATGTTCTTGATGTCAGCAGTTGGGATTGGTTGATTGTTTGATTGTTGCTCCTCGTTATCAGATGACACTTCCCTTTGAGCATTGTCCTGTTGCTGGACCAGAAGTGCTTGGAGCTCTTCAGTTGTCAGCTCTTCTTCGTGTTCCTCAATAAGCTCCTCTACATCCTCTTCCTCTACCTCTAATTCCAACCTTTGGGCCACTGTGATGATGTCCTTCACCACTTCTGTGTCATCAACTACTGCTTCTTCCTGGGTCCACGAAGGCACAAGCATCTTCCAAGCAGAAATGAGGGTCCTTTGTGACACTTCTTCCCAGGCCTTCTGTATAAGTCGTATTGCCATAAGGACATCAAATTTCTCCTTCCAAAACTTTCGGACAGTCATATTGTCTCCACCAAACTCGCATTCTTCAAACACCTTATTAAAGAGGGCTCTAGTGTAGAGTTTTTTAAAGTTCGCAATAACTTGCTGATCCATTGGCTGAAGAATGGATGTGGTGTTTGGTGGAAGCTCGGGCGAAGCAGTCGTGGAAGCTCGGGCAAAGCGGTCGTGGAAGCTCGGGCAAAGCGGTCGTGGAAGCTCGGGCGACTTCGTTGTGTGAAACGAAGTTCGTTGTATGAATCATGAAAGGAAGTTCGTTGTGTGCAGCGTTCGCTGTGCGAGGCGTTCTTTATGCGAGGCACCACTGTACTTGACTTTCTCAGTTATCCTTTAAGAGTCAACTCAGACATTATTTCTTGACCTGCTCAGACCCAGCCTTGCTGTCTTATACTGTGCTATATATCACACTCTATTTTAATTGTTCATTCATTTGTCTTTCAGGTCAGGAGCTCATTAAACTGTTGAGCTCCTTCAGGTGAGGACTAAAATTTTAAGACTTTTTGAATCGACACATAAGTATAAGATTGGCATAAAACAGGCTTCTATAAAATTGGCACTGCTAGGCTGATGTGCTGTGAGAGAGAGGGGAACCAGAGTGTCTTGAACACATTTACCCACAAAATATTGCAGTGTCATTCTTCAAAAGTGACTAAAGTAAATATAGGTGCATCTAAATATATTTGCTCAACCCACCACTGACAGATTAATGAGCTCCAAATTCAGGAAGAACTCTAGGAAAAAGCTCAGAACTTGAGTTACAGCCATCTGTCCTGACAAGCATCTGCTCCTTTTGAGCAGGCACTCTGCTGCAGGAATGCTGTGATGTAGTACATGAAGCAGGGAATGTAGTACATGAAGCTGGAAAACCAGTTTATGCTTCTGTCTTTACTTCCCAAGTGATCCCCTTGGCAAATCACCTGCCCTCATCTGAAATTGGAGGGCAGCAGCATCTGAAAGAACCAGATGGACTTTTGTATTCCCATTAGCACTAAAATAAATAATTATCACAGTTCAGTATGAATGCTTTTCAACAGATTACTTTTAGGTGTTATAATACAAAACAAGTTATCTTGTGTACAATTATCTGAGGGTTCCTGAAAAACTACCAAGTCGTCTTTGTTAATCAAATTTAAATACTATCTTTCATGACCGCTCAGGAAGGCATGGCTCTCCATGGCTCTTTAATGGGTAGAGCCCGCAGTCAATGGGTAGAACCTTGGTTATCACTCCTCCCTCCTCTCTGACCAAGAAAAAGAATGCATGAAATGCTCCCTTTAACGAGATGGGAAACAAAGGAAACTTTGAATAGCATTAAAGACAGAATTGCATTTAAAGTATAATATAATTAATGGGGAAAATACTAGACTGCACAGACATCTCCCTCCACTAACACCCTGAAGCCCACTGCACTTTCTCTTAACCACAATCTCCATTTATTCAAATACTGGGTATCTGTAGGTTTGGGTCAGGGCTGGATCCTTTTCCATCCCAAGAGAGAGAATCATGATTATTCTCTGGCAATTGTGTGCAATTCTAAATAATTGAAACTTCTGTTCTCGCATTTCTTAGTTCAAGTTTGTGTTTGGTCCCAGATGAGATCCGTCAGCATGCCACCTGGGGAGTTCTGGAAGATAGACAGACATGGGACTCTTCCCTTCACAGGACTGTTACTACATGTGGCACTGCTGTGTCAATGGAGATAATGATAACAACAGAGGATAACAGAGTGGAAAGAAGAAAGGCACTTGTTGTTGTTTTTTATGACAATGATACATTCATTTAGCCATGACTGAAACCATCCTGGCTTTACAAACAGTACAGGCATATCTCCAGGATATTGAGGGTTTGGCTCAAGACCACAATAAATCAAATCATAAATTCATAATCTATATATTTGGTAGTGGTGGGAGTTTGCCTTCAGTTTGTAAAAACTGCAATACCTGTGAAGTATTACAAAACAAGGTATGCTTATAGATATGATTTTATGTTATTAGAAACCCAAACCCTCCTGACATACTATTACTGTTTTCAAATAGCTTTCCTTGTGTTGAAATTTGTAGACCGGTGATACATGTGAATGGGGTCAACAAACTGCAGCCCACATACAAAATCTTCCCACCTCCTGCTTTTGTCAATAAAGTATTATTAAATACAGCCATTATTTTTGTTGTTACTGTTGTATTATCTATGGTTGCTTTCATTCTACAATAGCAGAGTTGAGTAGTTGTGACAGAAAGTGTATGGCTCACACGTGAGAATATTTATTATCTGGATCTTTACAGAAAAAGTTGGCCAGCCCCTTCTCTATACCAGCAGAGCTTAACTGGGGACTGCATCAGTCAGATAATATTGGGATGGCTCGATAATTATTTAATGTTGTACACAGTTAAAGTCCCACAGTACAAAGGATACCCCACCTAAAATGTTAATGGTGATTCTGTTGGGAACAACTATTCATGCTCACTGTAACAACCCTTACTTAGCTGTATACCATGTCTCAGGCCACATGAATTGGTTTTACATTGCACTTGCCACCACCAGTCTGATAGATTTACCAGCATAGGTAACAGCAAAACAGAAGCATAGTATTGAACATACTATTAATCCTCACATTTGTTGACCAATTAGGGAAATATATTTATCACTTTAAGGTATATTTTTATTTAGAATTTTCTGTTTGGGGACTTGTTTCAATGTAAACACAACATTCTAAGTTTTGTTATAAAATAGGTTGGCTTTGCCCTGGCCAATGTGCTCAGTGGTTAGAGTGTCAGCTCAAGTCCCACAGGGTTCCAGGTTCTGTCAAGGGCACATGCCTAGGTTGCACGTCTGTTCCCTGCCCTTCCCCCCTCCACCCCCTGGCAGAATGTGTGCAGGAGGCAACTGGTCTAAGTGTCTCTCTTACATGATGTTTCTCCCTCCCTA